TTGTAACTTGTAATTTGGAACTCCAATATTTGATAGCAAATATAATATGAAAACTTAGATATATATATTATGATATATAATATGAAAACTTAGAATTGAAATATATGTATTATGATATAATATGAGACTTAAATGAAATAAAATATTGAGATTTGAGACTTAAGATTGAGAGTTGAGACTTGAAAGAATATAAAAAATAGATGAGAGAATATATAATTTTGTAAGAAATAATAAGGGATAGAGGGGTATTTATAATATTAAAAGTGGGTTAAAGTGTATTTATAATAACTTGAGGGTTTAAAGTAAATTATTAAAAGTAAGGGTGGTAGGGGGTGTTGGTTGGGGGAAAAAACTGCCAAAATATCCGTTGGGGGGGCCCACTAGCCGTTGCCCAACGGATAGAATTTAAAAAAAAAAATAAAAAATAAAAATTGTTAGGGGATCCCGCGAATCGGCTGGTTCATCCGGGCCGGGTCGATCGGGACCAACGGGTGAACCGGACCGGTACCGGTCCCCTATCCCGAAAGCCCCCATCCTCAAACGGGACCGGGTCCGGCGGGCCGGTTCTCGGACCGGTCGAGGGCCGGGGCGGGCCGACCCGGTCCCCTTGCCACCCCTAGTTTGAAGACACTACGAATTTCTGTATCACAGATGTATTTTTCATTTTGTCTGAATTTCATTCTAAACTTCATTATGTCTACCTGTTATATGGTAAGTAAGGATCTTTCACCTATCTAAATTCGGGCTCTTATGAACTCTCACCATCCCTATATTGGGAGAAGAAAGGAAAAAGGTTGTCTTTATATTATGAAACACTTCATTAGCTCTAAAAGAGCTAAATAGAAGGTGCCCTTGCGCCATTGTCGCAAATTATTGAAGTTTGAGGTATCGATACTTCTTTAATAGTTAATCCATTTTTGCTGTTTTTTGAGTTTGCTAAAATTATTGAAGTTTGAGGTACTGCTATTTCTTTAATAGTTAATCCGTTTTTGAGTTTGCTAAAATTATTGAAGTTTGAGGTATCGCTACTTCTTTAATAGTTAATTCGTTTTTGAGTTCGCTAAAATTATTGAAGTTTGAGACACCGCTACTTCTTTAATAGTTAACCCGTTTTATCTTGGGATTAAATTTTTAAGGATACACAGTGGGTTTCATGGACTCAGATTATTTATTTTCTATCTATTTCATCTTTTTTGTTTTTGTTTCTGTTTTTACTAACCTGGATACCGGAGATAACATTGTATACCTGTAAAACGTTTTGGGATCACTTTTCAGAGAAAACTTAGTGCTTAATTGTGTTGAACAACCATTGAAGGAGAAACTTAACTATTGATGTGGTTCGTTAGTCTTTCATGTGTAATATTACATTATTACGTACCTTTTTACGTATAGAAAAAATTAAAAGGCAGTGAAAGTTCATTAGTATCTAAAAAGAGTCCATGTTAAAATTAAAAATTATGTATTGTAACGGTTCTAATTCTATTAAAATTATATGTCTGAAGTTTATTAATTGTGTTTTATGTTTTATGTAATGCAAAATTGTATGGATGTTTAAGCCATAACATTAACTCAAATAAGAAAATAATTAATAATAATTTTTAAAAAAAAAAATTGATTTCAATACGGATGACATCAACTCGCACTTAGAGCTTGTTTGACAATATTGTTGGGAGGCCCAAAACATTCATTTTAATTAAAAAAAAACACTTTTATTGAAAAATTAAGTGTTTTATAAATTAGTAAAATTACTTTTAAATGGAAGCAGAAGCAATTTTTCATTGTTAGAAAAAAGCTAAAAAAATTTGTTTGAAAAAAAAAGCATAAACAAAAAACTATTTAAGACTAAATATCTTTTTCATATGTAATATTTAACAATATATTTCTTATTAATTAATTTGCATATTTCATTTGGTTGAATTTCATTTAAGAATTTATTTTTTATTTTATATAATAAATTTTATAATTTATTTTACGTTTATATATTATATATTATTTTACATATTATTTTTGTAGAATTAGAAAAAAAGGTAAAAAAAAATATTTTTTTCAAGATTAGAAAAAAGAAGAATAAAATAACAATTAAAGATTTCAGTCTCCCAAAAAGGGTACTCCTATAATATTGATTGAAAATTTAAACATGTAAAATTTTAATTTTTGAAAAATATAAAATTAATTATTTTTTTTGATAATAAATGTTATAATTTCTCTCTATAAAGTAAATTTAATATTAGAAGTACATTAATAGTTGTCTTTTTTTTGTAATTTGACTCTTAAAAGTACTTTTAAATTTTTTTTAGTCAAACTCAATTTACTTATGAAAAACACTTTTTAAATGAATTATCCAAACACGAATTATTTTTTTCAAAAGCACTTTTCTAAAAAGTTAGTTTAATAAAAATATTTATAAAAATAAGTTATTGTTAGTGGCAATGCCAAACAGGGGAATCTCCAACCCAAACACCAAATTTGGTGTAATCAACTCAACCCACTGCACCAAATTTTACACCAAAAAAAAATCTTTTTCTCTCTCTTCATTATTATATTATTATTTCTTATTTCATTTATATTTTCTTATTTCATAAAACAATTTCTTTCTAAAACAATCATCATATATAATTCATATTATTTTCTTTTATAATCGTTTAATATAAAATTATTTTGTACCATAGTTTTTTAAATAATATAAATTGCTAGCAAATATTATACAAATAAAAGTGAAATCATTAATGAAATACAATTAAATAAACATTACATAATTGAAAAAAATTATTTAAAATTCTACATAAATATTCAACAAAGATCACTACGGTACTTTCATAAATGCTCTATTAATGCATTACGTAGTTCAAAATGAGCTATTAATGAATGTGGATGGTATTGCTGATCCAAATGTTCGTGAATTTGTTCGACAAGAACAAAGTCGAATAATGGAAAAAAGAAGTCAACAATTTCAACAGTTGCAACCACAACCACAACAATTTTCGACCCCATACAATTCATATTTTAATAGTATTGATGAATCCGGAAAGAATCTATCAGATTATTAAGTTATTGTTGTAAGTTTTTAAA